GGGGTGCTTTTTGTTTTTATGAATATCTCAAAAACAAAAAATCTGAAGAAACCCACTTTTTCCTAGAACAGCCCCCATATGAGATTGCATCAGCTGTTTTGTGTCTACATGAAAACAATATTATCCATAGAGATTTGGTAATTAAATAATAAATTTATTATTTTTTTAGAAAAAAATAATAAATTTAATAATGTTTATCTTTTTTGAAAAGCATTCAAACAACTTTTTGGTTCACCAAAAAACCATAAAATTGGCAGATTTTGGACTTTCCCGCAAAATACTTGAATCTACAGCCACTTCAACATTCAAATTGATAGGATTGGTTCCTTATATTGACCCACAATGTTTCAAGTATAACAGTAAGCCAAACAAAAAATCAGATGTATACAGTGTGGGTGTTTTATTATGGGAGTTGACTAGTAACCAACCACCTTTTAGTAATCACCATCAACAATTTACTTTAATGTTTAGTATTTCTCAAGGAATTTGTGAAGAACCTATTCCTAATACACCTGATGAATATATTAATTTATACAAAGGTAAAAAATCTATTATATTTAAAACTATATATTTATATGCATTAAATTTTTATTAATTATTTACTTCTAGCATGTTGGCAGGATAATCCAGAAAGCAGGCCTGATATTCAATATGTTGAAACTATGCTTAATAGAATGATTTCAGACTCAAATATAGTTGATAAAGTTGATAAAGAGGAAAATTACATGCAACAAAAAAATGAAGACAGTAATTCTTTCAGTTATTCCAGTATTATTTCAACAGAATCTACTGGCACTGGTTCACTGCAAACAAAATTTAATAAAATCTTGGATCTTTAGAATAGATAGAACCCTGAAAATTATGCGCACAACTTTGTTAAAATATTATCAATCTTATTGTAAATGTAGTATATATGTACTGTGATATTATGTAGATTACTAAATTATTATATTCACACTTTCACTTCTTATTTGTATTTGTATTATTATTATTTATATAACCAGTGTTGTTAGCAGACACAGGCATGGACATTGACTGTCCTGTCCTAGACAAAGATATAATTTTCCTTGTAGTAATGTCACTTTTGACCAAATGAATAAATTTTTTTAATTAACATATTAATCAATCAGTAATAATAGATGTGATGTAGTTTTATTTGGGGGGAAGGAGGGTAATAAAAATACAATAAAATAATTTATCATTTTTGTCAGTAGAAGTATCGTTTATTTTCATTTAAAGTGCCAAAATTATGTGAATTTTTTTTTTTTTTTAGCCATGTTTGTATGTGAAATCGAAAAATTTTGGGGTGGGGTGTTTGGATATGAAATTCTGATTGGCTAATTTGAATTTCATGTATGTGAATTGCAAATTCACATTGATTTCATTTTCGCGCACAACAGCCACACAAATACTTTGATTTTAAAATTTTTTGGCTCTCAACATTAACAATTAATTTACATTGATATATTTGCTATATCAATAATACAATTTTTTACAGCTGACAGATTAAACAATGGATAGAATTTCCTAAAAATAAATGAACAGTTTTTTTTTATAATATGTACTTGCTCGAAAAATGAATAATTTAGAAAATTTTCTCAACTTAAAAAGCAGAGGAAAAGAAATGCATAATTAACATTCTAATAAAATAAAACTTTGTCATAGACTCATTGTTTTTTACTAAATAAATAAATTTTTGAAAATAAAAATAAACGTTGTTTTTATTTTCATTGTTTAAAGTGCTTTGACCAAAACAACAAGTGGAGTGCCTTGGTAAAAAAACCACATTTTTTCGCGTTGGTGAGTAAATGAAGGTTATGACTAGCGTTGGTTAACTATTGGGTGTTGACAACGATTAGTAATGTGATTTACTTTAGCGAGTAAACAAGGTTTCAGTACTAACGTTAGTTAACTATTGGATGTTGATAACGATTAGTAACATGATTTACTTTAGTGAGTAAACAAGGTTTCAGTACTAACGTTAGTTAACTAGTGGGGAGTTAGTGAAGTATTATACAAAGGTTAATTGAAAATACTAGTGAGTTATTGTAATCGTAAACGTAAGGCTTTTAAAGTGGTTGCTTAAATTGTTTGTAAATATACCAAAATCGGTCAGATAAAAATAAACAACTGAATTAAATCAGTCACAAATGAATAAAGAAAACTTTATAGAAGCCGTTGAGCTTTGTGAAAGTGCCATTTTATTTCTTTGTGTGCAAGAAAGAGGAAGTAAGCGAGAGCTAAAGTAAACTAATTAATTGGCAAGCGCCAAATTATTGTAAGTTTCTTGCAATTAACTGATAAGAGTAGCCCAAAAGTTAAGTCGTAATCGGTGTTAACTAAAAGCCGCTTTGCAATATCAACATTGAACAAATTTTAATAATAAAAATTATGTAATAATGAAAATATATCTTATTTTTGTTTTATAAAAAATGATGGCAGTGATTATTGATCTGTAAACTTGTCATTCTAGTTGTTATTAAAAAAATGATGGTCATCATTCTAGTCGGAGATTAAATTAAAAGTCAGACTTCTTAGCATTTGCTTCTTAGGCAAAAGAAACGGTCTTGGATAGTAAGGTTGACTGCTTTTGATATTAATCCAATTCCAACCCCACAGGAAAACCAATTGCTACATTCACCACTATCTTCAACTTCACATAATGGCAAGAGGAAATTTTTAGAGATTTTAATATATTGATTGATTAGTTCATTGTTTTGATGATGGTAGCAAGAATGGTATCTGAAATGACAATAAAGTAATAATGGAATATCTAAACTGTTGTTGAAATAGATAAAGGCCAATCTTAAAAAAAATATTAATATTAATATAGACGATAATCGGTTAACGGGTGACAATGATAATGATTGTAAAAAAAGAAGTAAATTTTTTAAGATGTACACAACAAATTGATATTAATATATTTATTTATACTTGTTTAATGTTACATTGGATAGAGAACATACAAATACGTACATATTCAGTCAGCTACATCATTATTTTCCATTTGAAACAGAGAATTAATACTTCAAATGTTTCAAATAATATTTTGAGTAGCATTTTGATAATATTATTGATTTATTTTATCATAGAAGGTTTATGTCATCACAAGAACATTCTTTTTTTTTAAAGGAATATTTCCAATTGAATTATAATATTAAAAACTGCATTCTGGTTGTTGGAGATATTTTCACGTGTAATGATGAATTATTATTACATTGTTATATTTTTTCCCAAAAGAATTAATTTATAAACTACGCGGTCAAAAATAATAAAATTTATATAGTTATTATTACTCTTCCGTTGAAACATGCACAATAAATTTTTGAGATAGTCGACGGACCACGAATTAAAGAAATTTCTAAAGATAAATAAGTATTGGGTATTATTTAAAGATGGAAAGAATTGAATTGTTAAACAAATTAAAACTATTGATTGAATCAATTTATCCAAGATACGATTTATTATGTAAATCAATTTCAAATACATATGAAAATCAATTAGATTTTAAATGAATTGCTTTGGAACATTAAAATTAATAGAAAACTGTACTGATTGTAACATTAAACCTAATGGTTAATACCATGTAAAATCATCCACTGTAAATGTATACATGATATAAAAGATTCGATTTCACGATCTGTAAAATGCAAAATCTATTGTAAAAATTGTCATTATCATAAACATATCATTTATTATTATATAAAACCTTTGTTCCCTAAGATTTTTTTTTCACCAGTGATAGTTAAAAATATAATTTCCGATTAAGTATTTGCTCCGACCATCTTGGACGTTTCATGGGAAAGGCTTTTAAGACAAGCACGCTAATATTGGCCATTTTTATTAATTGTATAATTAAGACTATTAATAATATACTAATACATAATAGACATTCATTCATAAGGGTTACACTCTGTAAAGTCACATTTTTATTTTGTTATTTTCCCCTTGGTCCCGATTTTTTTATAATAACTAATTTCTTACAATATAAAAACAATCATGTTCCATTTCATTCTCATTCGCGGGTTTAATGTTAAAACCCCAAACCGAATATGAGGAAAATGCCTCGCCACCATAAAAACCAGGACAAATGATAATTTGTTTTTTAGCATTTTTAGTGTTAGTATGTAATAGCAAACATTAATCAACCAAAATTGTCAAATGAAATCGTTGATTAAATGTTAATAATAAAATAATGCTTTTCTTGCTAAAAACTAAACCAAACAGTTCTGGAAAAAGATTTTATAGTTGCACGATAAACAATAAAAGGACGTTTATCGCGTGGAAAAGAGGTATTTGCAATCGATTTCAGAAAAATAACCACCCAACGAAAACAAAAAATTCCTTCCCAAAAAAATAGGTTTGAAAAGCAGAGATTTTTCACTAGTTGCTTACATATGCACTCTCTACAGGCTCTGCAAAGAAAAGAAAGATACTACTATCACCATCATTTACAATGGGTTAAAGTTCGTAAAACAAGTTTTCCAAAAAGATTATTTTTTAAAAAAAGGAATTCAAAAAAAAAAACGAAGCGTAGTACTAATTTCTAAAAAACAAACCTTATTATTATTTTATAAAAAAATAATAATGGATATATATGGACTTTATCCGCCATTAATTGACATAACAGCAAAGCTTGCAAGAGACGCTTATAAAACAGCTGAAGATGCACGTTATACCAAGAAAACATGTTTGATCTTAGCAGACAGATTAGAGATAGGATCGTGTGCTTTGTCTGATTTATATAGGCACAGGGATGAAAAAGACAAAGAAGAAAAATTTAAAAGTAGTAATTTCTATAAAAGCCTTCAAAGTTATGTAAATGCGGCAATTGAAATCAAAAGATTTATTGAAGAGTTTTCTAACTTGAGAGGAGCAATGAAATATATTAAATCAAAAGGGAAAGTTATTCAACTTGTAAAAAGACATGATGAAGCTATTGCTGATTTAAAGCTAGGAATAAGTCTTGATGAATTTAAAGAAATTCATGATTTACAAAATATAATGGAAACTGAATTTGATAAAATGTCTTTGGTAAAATATAGATAAATAAATTAATAAACATTTATTTAATTTATTATTTATTATATGAATTTAATTCTAATTGTCACTTTTATTATCAATTATCATTATCTCCACTATTATTGTTATTTTAATATTAATAGGCTTTAGAAACAATTGAAGCCAGTTTGAATAATCAATCAAATGATATGAAATTAATAATAGATACACTTGCATCAATGAGTAATAGTCATAAACAACCAATTGAAATTAAATCAATCAGACAACATGATTTAAGAGATCCAGATCCAGAGCAAGTAGTAAAACGTGGAAAAGTTTTTAAAAAATTATTGAAAGGGTATGAACCAGTAGCATGTAAGCCATTTACAGATGAAGAATATAAAGAAGAAGACTTTCGTACTCTTTTAGCAATTTTAGGTAAATTGTTCCCATCAAACAATATCGTAAAATTTCTTGGCACATCATCTGCCAATGGATATAGAGTACTGGTATTTGAATGGGCTGAATATGGCAATTTAAAATCTTTTTATGAAAAATATGATATTACTTGGAAACAAAAACTAAAAATTGTTCATGATGTTTGTACTGGACTTGCTTTTCTACATGAATGTACAATTTTTCACCATGATGTTAGATGTGAAAACATTTTAGTGAGTAATTAATTTCTATTTTTATTTTTATTTTTAATTTGTTTAACATGCAACAATATATATATTGTTAATATTAATCTTGAAAAAAAATTTTTTAAAATTAAAAAGATTATGGACAATATTGGAAAAGCAAAAATTGCAAATTTTTCTCTAGGTAGAGAATATCATAATAAAAGTATACGAATTATGCCCTGGATGGCCCCTGAGAAACTCAAAGATCCTGATGGAGTCAGATACACTTTAAAATGTGAAATATTCAGGTAAAGGAATATATATATCCATATATTAATTTTGATTAAATTATTATTAGTTTAACTAATTACTCAAATTTGTTTAGTTTTGGTATGTTTGTCTGGGAACTATCATTTCAACAAGTTCCATATTTTCATATGCTTGATAATGATGGTGTAAAAATTACTCATTATATCTTGGAAGGTGGAAGAGAAAGTGTAAGGAAACTTAGTCGCTTTGATGATATTCAAAAATGTTTCAAAAACATAATAGTAAAAGGTAAATGAATGAATATTTATAAAGATCAACTTGAAACTATCATGTTGTAGTCCAATACAAGGTTGTAAATAGGCCAAATCCATTGTGACCAATGAGTTTTGATCTGGTCCATTGCCATTAATAAAATACTAAAAGTTGCACTAATGGATCCAATGGACCACCAATGGATTGTTATCACAGCCAAATAGTATCACATTTTTTTCTTTAAAAATTTTTTACTGCTGTGACAAATTCAAACATGCAGGTTTCTAATTTCACACATAACGGATATATATTTAATATAATTTTTCTTTTAAATAGCTTGGAATCAAGAACCTTCATTACGACCAAATATGCCTATTTTTCTTACTCAATTAGTTACTTTATACAGAAATCATTATTTACCTAGACCTAGAAGTGGCATTGGCAAACAAATTACTCTTTCATTCGATGATGATGATCTTTCATTAGGTACATTGAGTTTAGATGATGTTCCAAAAGTAATAATTACATTAGAAGATGGTATAAAACTTCACAAGGATAAAAATGATACCTCAAGAAAATTGGCATGGGAATGTTTCAAATATCATGCTGAGGTATTGAAAGATCCTAGAGCAATATATTGGAAAGGTTATTATTTGCTGGAAGGATATGGCGGAATTGAGAAAAATTCAGAAGAGGCATCTAGATGTTTCAAAGAAGCTGCAGACCAAGATATTTCTGATGCTCAAGTTCGCTATGCATTCTCTATATTAAATAAGGTCGGTGGTAATCCTTTAATGGCTTCTGAATTTATGAAATATATGGAAAAGGCTGCCTTCCATGAAAATCAAGTTGCTTTGTATAACATGGGTGATATTTATTACGAAGGGAAATTAAATTTACCAAGAAATCAAAAACAGGCAATAATTTATTATAAAAAGGCTGCTTTGAAAGGTCATGAAAAATCAATTAAGAAACTTAAAAGTTTAAATATAAATATCTATGGTGATTAAATAATATATAATAAATTTTTTATAATTATTTTTGTTTATTTGTATTTTTTAATATTTATTTAAGAATAGATATATACAATCTAAAGAAAACAATTTATCATGGAGCTGGAATCACCAGAAATTGGGCATTGCCAATATTCAAATATATACGACTTTCCACTCTTTCCTGGGATTGAGCAATTTTGTTCTGATGTTGATAACAAAAAATAAAATATTAAATCATTTTTTTAAATTAGATTAGTGGATGCCCCTTTCATATTGTTTATATTATTACATTTTTTTTTTATATCTATGCTTTTCATTTATGTTTTTTATTTTTTAATAGTCATTAATTTTTAACAATCATTACATATTTTTTTAATAATTGATATAATATATTTTATAATTATTTATAAATATAAGCAAGCTTTAAAAATTTTAAACCCAAATTTAAGATTGAAGATTTTTAAGATTATATGTTTTTTCTAAAGATAAATCACTTCCCACACCATACCCAACTATTGTATTGTTTGATGGGTTTTTTTCATCAATTATTTGTTGTGCAATTGACATCAGATCTTTGTCACACCTTATTAGGTGTGGATAATTGTCTATGACAAATTGACAAAGACAATTTTTAGTTGATATGGTGCAAATGTAAGATAGACTCAATTTGTATGCATTTTCTTGTGATGATGCAAGTTGTGTAATAAGATATCTTTCTAACGAAAGTACCATGGCTTCTTATTTTAGACATCTTGATTGTGTTTCATATGAAATTTGTTGAAAAAGAGAGTTCTCAACCCATATTAAATATAATTATGTGTACATATATATATATATGTATATTGATTTTTAATGATTAGTGTTTATGATTGTTATATATAAAATAAGAGTATATGATAATGATAATGATAATTAATTAATTACTTGATTGAGTTTCAAATCTACACAAGTCAGTCTTTCACCATATTTAATAAGTTCGTGTATATCATCATGTTTTATAAATTTTGTTATCACTAAATCATTTTTGATCTGAGCACTAGGAACTAGGGTTTGTATTCATGAATATCATAAGGGGTCACACAGGGTCACACACTATTAAAATCAAGTGATCAACTCATGTTTTTAAGGGATTTTTTGCTGTTTTAATAGTGTGTAACCCCTTAATGATATTCATGATATTCATGAATAAAAACCCTACTAGGAACTCCATAAATTTTTTCCATTTCATTTATGTGTGATTTCAGCATTGTTTCAACATCAAGACTCCTTGATGGACCTGTTAATGGTTGTGACTTTGGCATATTGGTGTCACTGCAACCTAATAATATTCTCAAAGAGTGTAGATCATTTATGTGTTTGTCAAAATAATAAGGCCAAATGATATGTGATGATTCTAGTGCTTCAAGAACTTCTAAAGAAGCTACTGAACAGACAAGGTTTGTTGGTGGAAGAAATGCAATGTTTCTGATAACTTTATCATCACAACAAATATCCATAATCATTTTACTGCTGGAATTGTGATTACAGAACTCAATTTCTTGATTGAGTATTTCTTTCATGTCATGAGGACCAATGACAACTTCTATATTGTAGTTGTAAATATCTTCAATGCCTTTCACATTATTAATAGTGCATTTTAATTGAATTTTGATACAAATGTTTTTGTAATAAACCATTTTTGTTTCAGTCTTATGTTTGGTTTTCAATGAATTTAACCAGTTAATAGCTTGTGATGGAGTGGCAATTATATTCCAGTCAATTGGATTCTGAAAGCTAGGAAAATGATATCTTGCAGCTTGAGAACCAATCAAAATTGGATGTTGAAAAGTGGCAATATTGGTATTTTTAGGGATGGGATCAGGTAATTTTGTTAGAACATCAACAGCATTGTTAATATCAGATCCTAATTCAATTGGTTGAAGCTCAGTAACATTGGTTTAATTTTCTTTTTAAGACTAAAGTCAAAACAAAATAAAAATAATGATGTGATGTTAACTAGAGTAATGATGAGTGTCAGGCGATAACCACCACCATCCTTAAAATGCTTACCCATGTTGTTCCTTGTCAGCTTATCTGCTTCTTTTATTTTTCTTGTCATTAAACGACATTTTTTTTTAAAGAAGTTTGTTATTTGATCAACACGTACACATTAATTATTTATCCTATTGGTTTTTTTTTTCTGGTAGGACAGACGCAAATTGATTTTTTTTTTTGGAAAAACAATTTATTTTTTGACAGAGTCCATGGTGACAAAACATGAACGTTGTTGTTTGGTTTGGGTCTCCTAAAGAAAATGTGTTAATAACTAACCAGAGGTACTACATTTTTTTTACTTGCATTGATATGTATGAGGTGTCTTTTATTTTAGCTTATAAATATTTTAATTGGAATCAAAACGCTGAGCAGATCTTGCTGGGTGATTACAAGATTTTCATTGATAATATTTTGCTTTGCATAATCAATAATAATAATACTATTATTATTATTATAATCACAAGATGTCAAGGCGGCATTGACTGTTGAAAAAGAAACAATTTGATATGCAATGTTTGATTATTGGAAATTTTACAAGTGTTGAAGCACGCACACTACCTTGAACACATTTACAGTCATTCCCACACGTTTCTCATGTACACAAGGCTAATCTTGACTTGGCGACCCAAATATATGATGATGCAACAGAATTCCAGAAGGCGCGTGGATCTGGAGTTTACCAAGACTGCATCAATCGTCAATGACACTTTCACTAATCTTCCCAGACCAGAGAAGGCTGCTGGCATGCTGGCTGAAAATTCGCTTGCAACGATCCCACCTCTAGGGTAAGGATGGCTCTGTGACCAAGCTGTCGCAACTCTGCTGATGAATTGTAGTGCCAACTGAATTTGTTATTTTAGTAAATGGGGTAGGGTTATTGATGAGTTGGCATGCCACTGACAAGACAGCAACCCAAGACTCAAAACTGAAATCAGGGAAAATCTAAAACAACAACCTTTCTGCATTGGAGAATTTTTAACACAAAGCAATCACTGACTTTGTACTGGAGATGTGTAACACAAAGCAATCATCACACAAATGCCAGCTATCAGCAATCAATGCCCATATGATAACAGCCAAGCCTGGTCTGAGGAGAAGATAAGTATGTTTTGTCCAAAGCCTTCTAACATGTGTGCGGCGCACCTGTGGAGAAAATTCCACAGTTATGGGGCATGTGAAAGCATGGTTATTGCATGTTTGTGACAGGAAAGCTTTAATTAAATCTGACACATGCAATCAACATCAGATTTATTATTCATGAGCAACCATAATTGATAATCAGGAAAAGTAATTTATTTTGTGAACCCCAGAGATCTGGGTAGACACGCATTAAAGTTTTGTTTATGCATGGCCTTGGTATCATTACTACCTGGGTAATGCAATTGTTTGTTATGCCAAAGATGATATCAAATGTATCAAATTATCATCATGACCATCATAAATATTTGATGGATGGAGGCATTCACATACAAGGAAATGAAGGAAATGATTAAATAGCCAAGTCATGTTTGTTTTGTCAAAAACATGATCAATTATATTTAAAATATACAATAAAAAAATTGCAAGACTGCACCACTATGTCAATCAAGCTATTAAGCTGTTATGTTTGTGCATGATTTAAAATTCTTTTGTGCTAATTTAAGGTGCCATTTTTCTTTGCTTATATATAATCTCTTTACTGGCCAAATGATACCAAATTGGGTAATGGGGTAATGAGGTATCAGCAAATATCAGAATTTGATTATTCTTTAAAAAAATAATCAAGGTATTAGCATACTGATAAGTTAATAATATTTTTGTCATATAGTCTAAAAGTATTAGTAAATATTGAAAATGCCAATATTTATCAGATATTCTTTTAAAATTAATCCTTTTTTTAGTTAATTATTGGCTTAGTTTAATAAACCAATAGCTCTTTATATTCTAATTAAGTTATTGATTAAATATTTCTAAAGCCCTTTGTACTAAAATAATATCATATCTTGAGTAGCAGTTAGGGTTTTCTATTCAAATGTTTATTTGAATAAAATGAATAAAACAAATAATAATATTATTTATTTTGTTCTTTCAAAAAATAAACAAGTGTAAGTTTAAATATACAATAGATGGGTGTCCTAAATTATTTAGACAATGTCTAAAAAATAAATTAATTTAGACATTTAGACAATCATGGTCTCAATTGTCTAAAATGCTGAAATTGAATTTTTTGTGGATTTTGTATATACACGTGACTTTTAGTTGTATTTAAAGCAAATCATTACTATTTATATTAATTTAGACATTTAGACATTTTTGTCTAAACCCAAAAACAATTTAGACGCCCATCTATAGATATGACGATACAAATTTTTTTTTTGTTTTTCTCGCGGAACAAACCATAATTACTTTGGCCATAACCATACTCATCAAAACTCGAACAATCGTGTGGACATCACCAACAATTTTTTCTCTAGTCAGAATTTAAACGAAGAGAATTTGGATAGATAAAACTATAATGACAATAGCAATTTAACTCGAGACCAATTTTTTTTATGTCGGTTTAGCTTATAACAAGCGCTAGGACAACAGCCGCGGAAGCAGTAATCATTAATGTTGATCATTTCTATAAATTTATGTTTTTGTGCTAGGTGCATTCGCAAACTGTTTACTGGTATTTGTATTACCCGTAGTATTTTATGTAGATTGTTTGGGTGGAATGGTATGACTATTTGGGAAATGGTTTTAAATTTATTTGTGATACTGGTGGGTTTATTTGGTTGTATTGTGGGTACTGTGGACGCCATTTCTTCTTTGCTATATAAAAGATTTTAATGAAAATTAAAATCATTCGATGCAATGTACATATATTATTATTTACTTTTTTTTTTTTTTTTTTTAATAACTAAAAGTTAATTATTATCATACAGTCGGCGCTCGATATAGTGAAGTTTTGGCTAGTACAAATTTGGAAACTATCTTCAGAAAAGTTGAATTTGATTGGATATTAACGCAGATAGTTTCCAAATTTGTACTAGCCAAAACTTCACTATATCGAGCGCCGACTGTAATTAAAAAATAAATAAATCTTGAATCATGTAAAAATTGAAGCAAAGCATACTCATTGTTCTACATCGGTTACAATTTTATATCATTAGAATTAAAATTTCGATCTTGAGGAAAATGGAATGAATTTTTGATTGACCATAAGATTTCGAATCTCTTGATACAAAATCTTGCTTTAATTAAACGATCAATCAAATGATATGTCTAACGATCAATCAAATGATATGTCTAACGATCATATAATTTTACTTTTAAGTCTTATTATTATATAGTTTGAAATTTTAATTTGATAATTATTCATTGTATGACACATTATAAAGGTATCTAGATAGAATTCTAATAAGACTTTGCAGCATCAACTGTAATAAAAGTTTTTCCCAACAAAATGGCAAAGAATAACATATGGGCCCATCCTAACTTGACCAAAGTCAAAAAGATCTGGCTAATAAACTCTTTTGACATTTCTACAAGCAATTCTGGAGGAATTTCTTTCATATTAGTTAAACGATGGCTTTTGAAAAAAAAACCAGATTAATTAATTAAATTAGAAAATGAATTATGAAGAACAACTTTATTTTTATTATAACTAATAAACAAACTGTTCTCGTTGTTTCTGCTGCTGTTGTTAGAATATTTTCTAATCTCAGTATGTCTTTAACACCAAAACTCTAACCATTTTTTTATACCGACCTCTGTCATTGTTGGCTATAAAAATTAGTTGATCTTTAGTCAAATTGTTACGACTATTATTATTATTGCAGTTGGGAGAAAATATTGTTGGTAATAATTATAGGATTTATTCAGTTACCAATGTTGATGATACTTGTAGGTCAACAAAGTATTGACTAGTAGTATTCATCGTCGGATTGGCTGAACAAGACCATTATTTACAACAGCGTTTTGGTAAATGTTGTTTGAAATGAATGCTCTGTCCGATTTTTCGTTAGAAGGAAGATTATAATGATAAATTTTTAATTTTATTAAATAACAGTGGGGGGGAATAATAGGAATAATAACCAAGAAAATTTTCCTGTGTGAAAATACGCATAACACACACACAATACATACACAAGAGGTTACAACAATAATAACAATAGAATTTGATATACCATATATAGTAATAGTGATATATAAATCAATTTTTTTATATTTCTATTTTAGTCAAATATCAAACTTTAAAATAATTTTTATTAATAACAAAAATAGAAAAAAAAAAGCAATTTATTTTATATTTCACACATAATAAATATTTTCATCCAAATCATGGAAAATTCAGCTCAAAAACGTCATATTACAGAGGACCCCTTGAACCTTGATGAACAACAAAACTATCAAACTCCCAATAGTAGTTCTACTAAAAGGATGAGGATAACATTACCACCACCAATAAATACTTTACAACAAACACCACAATTTGAAAAGATCGGCTCATGGAGTTTACCTCCTTTAACCTTTTCCTCCAAATTTCCTCCCAATCATTCTTCTAACGTGTTTGATCAGTCGCCACCACTAATACCAACACCACAAAGTAATCAACAACAACACCAATCATCTTTACCAAGATTTGAATTGCCGCCTCTAAAATCTTTAGTAGCATCGAAATTATCACCACCACCACCACCACCGCAAACAACTAAATCATCAACGATAGCAGCTACTATTACACCTTATACTCCAAAGAATTTTTCTCAATCATCCTCGTCCAATAACAATAACAATAATAATAATAATACGTCACCGTATAATTTGTCATATACATCATCGTCTACTACTTCTGCTGCTGCTGCTAAATCTAATCCGATGTCTGTGTTTGCAATTCTTTCAAATGATGATGATGATAACACTTTTAGTTATAACAATAACTTCAAAAGCACCAATGAACAAATCATAAACAATAATAACAACAACATCATTAAGAACAACAACAACAACAACAACAACAACAACAACAACAACAACTACAATTCAAAAAATCAGGATGAATGTATTCCTTCCCCGTTGCAATGTTTACTTGAAGCGATTGAAATAAAGGAACAAAAAGAAATAAATAAAAGTGGTGGATTGGAGACATCTTCTAATAATGATTATCATGTGAAAGAAGAATACGGTGAAGATAATGGTGATTATAATGATTATGATGAAATCGAAGATTATAATAACATTGATAAAGATAAACTAGCTAATTATTATGAAGAGATGAATCACCATGATGCTACTAAACTTGAAGAAATTTCACGAGTGATTGTTCATAATGACGAGTCTTTAAACATGAATGGTTTTAAAGAAAAAAATCTTGGTTTGTTAATAATAATTTATTTATTTTTTGATTGTTACGTTTGACTTATATATGCACTAATATTAATAATATACTTGTTGAATGTAATAAAAAAAGGTCATTTACTTTATAATCCCAAGGAAATTCTTCCACCACTGGAATTCAAAGAAAATGGTTTAATGGAAATTTGGATACAAGCTAAACATTTGACATGGGATAATACCAAAGTTAAAGAGCATTTTGTATGGGGAACAGACATTTACTGTGATGACTCAGATGTTGTTGCGACTCTTATACACTCTGGATTATTTGTCCCTCTTGAATATGATAAATCAAAGGTCGTACAAAATCAACCTAATTATGATCTTCATGTTACCATTCGTGCCTATCCAAAACTACTTTATTATAAGGGCACCAAAAGAAACAATTATAAAAGTAGATGTTGGGGTGATCATCATGGAGTTAGCTACAAAATTGAAAAGGTTGAAAAAATACAAATCGGCGAAGCGATTTGTAGATCAAAAGGTGGCAAAGGAACAAAAGAAAGAATGAAAAATTTTCTTGTAAAGAGAAAAAAAGCATTTAATGTATCAAATAATCAAAATGCCATTTTATTCCTGTTTAACAATGAACATGATCCTTGTTATAAGTATTCACCAGAATTGATGTCAGATAGCAAATATATAATTAACAGACTATATTCTGAAGTCTTGTACTTGGAAAATGATGATGAAAGGTAATTTACATGTACACGCGTATATATATATATATATATATATATTATATATTATAATTTATACTTACTATTCTTTTCTCCGCCATTGACAATCAGATATGAAGTATCATATAATGAGAAGCAAAGCAAATATAGATTTTCAATAGTATCACCATCAGTTTATTTAGGAGACAGAAATAAAAGCAATTTAAAACATCCGTTAAGTTCTGATAAGTTGGATGAAATAATTCGGGATGATTTAGATTTTCATGAATTATCATGGAATATTGTTGGTGTAGTTGTAGCAGATAAACAAAATCAACAACATAGCTTATTATGCATCATCAACAGAATATTTTGGTATTCAAAAAGTCAAGACTAAATGATTATAGAATATAATAATATATAGATGGAGTTTTGATAGATCTATCTGAATTTTTAATATTTTTAATATTTTAATCTATCAGAATATTTTTTTATTTATCTTGAATACGTAGTTTAATAAAAAAATCAAATTAATTCAACGTATTAATTTCATTCATCATTCATTTTAATTTTAAAGTTATTACACAAATTGGTGCACTTTCATCATTCTATATGTTATTGATTGACATCCGTGATTATTTTTCGGCACCGTCCATCCACATTTACTATTCTTATCTAAAGGCGAAACTCGAAAATTTATTTGTCATTGTTACACAACAAAAATTAAATTCGAAACATTTAAACAAAAAAACAACAAAATTGATGAATTTGTTACAAATAAATTTTTATGCATATAATAATAATAATAATAATAATAATAATAAATAATTATAATATAATAATCATTATAAGCAACAACAATGGAAAAATAGTGGTGTGTGGTTAGTGTGGTGAGACAGGAGAGCGAAATTTTGATTTTAATTAAAAACTGTTAACAACACAACATTAATAGCTAGTTTAAAAATCTTTTGCTATCAGTTATACGAATGAGATTTATCCGACCATTTTTGATCGGCAAGTCTACATTTATTATAAAAAAAAAAAAAAAAGCTTTCATTCATCTGTTCATATAATTTTTCTCCTCCTTTCTTTTTAATTTTTTTAATTTTTTTTTTCAAATAAAATTAAATGTTTGTTACTTTTTTTATTTACTTTTTTGTACTTCCTTTTTGTACTTCCTTTTGGAAATAACCAATCAATTTACTAAATTATATTTTTAAAATTAATATGAATTAACTAATACAATTTGACCTAATTCGACTTGTTATTGACATGTACCACAAATTTCTTACAGTAATGTTTATACCATATTATTTAATTTTTAATAATCTTTTTTAAATTTTTTTTTTTTTAATTATTTAAAAAGTAAAAATATAAAAACATGCACATATTTATTTATATAAACATTTGATTTAAAAAATAAAAAAATTTTTTTTTTAATTTTCAAAACTCTCAAGGCCAAGGGTAGGTTAGAGAGATTCTTGGGCTTTTTTCCGAGTTAAGTTAATTGGATAAGTCGATCGGTTTGATTGGTGATTGATTGGCACTGAATATACGTAATCAATCTTTTTTTTTAATATTGATTATTATGGTTAAAAAACAAATTCTCTCACTAACCAACCTCCTCCTAACTCTCTCCCTCCCTCTCTCTTTTTTCTCCTAAATAAATAAATTAATTAATTAAAAAAATAAATTGAATTATAAATTATCAACATCACCCACCACCACCATCCATCCAACGCAACCAATAATTGATGATGATATGCAATAAAAAATAACAGATTTACCAAATACCTATTACTGTAATTTATATAACTCTAATTTGTTATTATATATAGCATTTATTTATTAATAAAAATTGATTTCATTTGCTTGCTGTACTTTATTTGTTAAAAAAAAAATTATTATTCAAATGTTGCGTTACTTCAGATGTTTCACAGTTCATTAAATTTGTGACTCATTTTTTTTTTTTAATAATTAAACAGGAAGAAGAACAAGAAGGCAGAAAAAAAAATAAAGGATGTCAACAGCACTCCTTTTTCTAAAATTCTCCGTTATTTTCTCAGACATGTTACATTTCAGTCATTAACTCAGACATGTTACATTTCAGTCATTAACTCAGACACATTAACTCAGATATATTAAAATTTAGTTATTAACTCATAATTATAAGCTTTTGATAAATTTATATATTAATTAGGTTATTTACAAAAGCAATTATACTCTCAACCGATTTTCTCTCAAAGAATGAATAACAAGAAAATCTCGTATGCCTAAAAAGAGCAAGAAATAAATTTTATATTCTATATAAATCTTTTTTTATACATTATATAATAATTATTATTATATACATTATGTACGTGTGTTTTACTATTATATATACTTATTATAATAAATAATTACACAATCAATTACATTTTCAATTATAATCAATTATTATTGTTATATAGTGTGTTACCATGAAAAATTTTTTTTCTCCTTTTCAATAATAAAAAAATAACAATAAATAGCGAATATAAAAAAATTTTTCAAAAATATATAAATAACACATTTTATTCTCTTCTTCTACGACACAGAAAAAAATTATATTTCAGCAACTGTTGTACACTTTAAGAAATATTATATATACTAATACATTGTCTACTATAATTATATTTTTTTTTTCTGAATATTTCTATAAAAAAATTTTTTTTTACTCTACTAAAGATTGTAAGTAATGATTTATTTATTACAGTATTAAAAATAATTATTTTCAAAGACCAAGACTATTTGCTAATAATAAATTTCTCTTCTTCTTTAATTATTATTATTATTATTATTATATATATATATATATATACATATATATAGCTTTGAACTTGGTTGTGTTTATATATATCATCTATTCTAAAAGAGACGACGACGTTTACAATAAAATTATTTTTACGTACTTTATATATTCAATTCTATACGACCGTTATCTCAATCCCCTATCACATTTTATCTCTTATATACATACACTATTTTTTTTTATATATATTTATCATCTTTACATTTATTTGCATTTATAAAAAAAAAAAAAAAAAATCCCCCTTCACTTGTTTCTCTTTATCATTTCGCTTTTTATTATTTTTTTACAAGACTTTTTGGTAAGTTTAACAATAAGTTTTTAACAGTGGGGGCTTAGTCATACACAGCCTTATAATGTGTTTTTAATTTCTCAATTGATTACTATTTTTTTAGCGCTTCCATTTTATTATTATATTATTAAATTACCATTATTATTACTAATTACTATTAGTTGGTACCACACAAAAATATCCATCCATACCTTAATTAATTAGTGTAAATATTTCATTCTCCGAAAAAAAATAACTCATTACATAGTCATTAGTCTTATTTTTTCTTTTTTTTTTTGATCAAACAATCAAAATTAACTAATCAACTAATAAAAATCTTATATTTCAATATATATTTATATATTCATATATATATAGATTTGAATTTCATAAAATGGATACCGCTACCAGATTTATAATTAATAATAATAATCATAATAATAATTATAATAATTCAAATAATCTTGTACAACGTTTACATAGTACGTATATAATTTTATGAAAAATTTTGAAGATTTTCTAACATCCAATTACTACTACTACTACTACTACTACTACCACTACTACTGCTGCCGCTTCCGCATGCGATCGATTGGTTTGATAATTAATTAATAATGATTGTTCTATTAGTAATAACGTCAACGAGCAAACAACAAATTACTTTTTTTAAAAAAAACTAAAAATTATTATCAATAACATGTCGCTAAAAAAAATCCAATTATGGAATGATCAATGGAATCATCGTTGTGCTTTTATCATAATATTATTTCAATTGGCCGTCATAACAACAACTATTTTTTAAGAAAAAAATTATATTTTTTATAACAAGAAATAATAATGATAATGATAATGATAATGATAATGATAATAATAATGATAATAATGATAATAATGATAATAATAATGATAATAATAATGATGATAATAATAATTATTGATAAAAAAAAAAATGGACACCGACAACAAATAATAATAAATCTCTTCCGATTCAGATTCTCAATGAACAATAATCAAGACGACAACGATGTTTGTTGCTACTTAATCTAATCTTGTTTGCGTTGATGATTCCCTTGCAAATAAAAATCATGGCGGCAGTAGCGGCAGTGTTTTAGAAGTAGTAATTTGCTAATTAGTTTTCTTTTTTCGTGTTACTAATCAACCAAATTTCAAATTTTCAAATTGTTAGGTCTAAGCAACGCATTCATTAATGTGCCTACTGATCCACAACAGCAACAACAGCAACAACAGCAGCAACAACAGCAGCAGCAACAGCAGCAACAGCAACAGCAACAGCAGAATCATCGTCCACCATCATCCTTAAGAATCACCACATCATTCGTACGTTCTCCTCCACCTTCACCATCATCGCAACCACAATTGTCGCCATCTACTACCGTACAAAATGCTGCCACCATAACCGCAACTGCTACCACAACTATAAACTTTGGACCTGCTACTAGCGATCAAAAAAAGAATATTGTTAATGATGTCTTGTTGTCGGAATGTATTATGAATACTGATGATAACGATAATGATCATAGTAATAATTTGCAATCTGATAGCGATTCTGCATCGGAAGTTGATAGTTCAAATTCGGTTCCTATAACTCCAATTGATATTTGTAAAAGCGATGACCTAATGTGGAGCATAATTTACGACGAGTTGGACAAGGCTGATAAGAGATCTGCGCAAGATTCTTCTTCATCTTTCACTTCTTCAATCTTCAATCCATCAACATCTATTGTTCCCTTTTTAAATAATGATAATGATAATGACAACAACAACAGCAACAGCAACAACAACAACAACAACAACAACAACAACAACAACAACAATTCTACCCCCATCACTTCGCCCGAAGTTCCCTCATCTGTCATCTTTAACAACGACAACCGCAACAATAATAATAACTCACCTTTGCCATTATTACCAATAACATATACCACATCCATTACTACCGCAATCATTGATGATGATAATAGTAATACAGTACCACAACGTTCGTTACACGATATAATAATTAATGGTGGAACGAAAAGACTCTTTACAACTTTGGAATCGGTCATTGAAGCTCCCGCTGCTACAACTGTACCCACCACCGCTACATCAAACTCTGCACCTTCTCCTCCCTCGTCATCATCTACTAATATTTCCGAATCGACTTCAACCACCGCTTCTCCTCCCACCACCACCGCTACACTATCAAATATCAACAACAACAACTGCAATAATGGTAATGGAAGTGGATACGACCTTTCGAACTTGTTGATTCAGAATGCCGTGCAAGCACTTTCTCAAATATCAGATCCGATCATACCAGTCAACATTACATCAAACTTCACCACTAATGTGATGTTGATGATGATGAATGGTAATTGCAACAACAACAATTACACAATCGATCCAAAAATCATCACCACCACAAGACCTCCTCCAATAGTTCCAAACATCATTACCAATTTTAGTAAAAATGCCATTGACAATAATAATATTGTTATTAATTGCAATGATTTAAATAACGATCGTAGCTTTTCAATTATTAGCCCACCTTTGGAAACTCCAGAACTTGTGTCAAGCGGATGTGATAGTAGTGGTAGCAGTAACAATAACGATAAAAGAAAAAGAAAATTGAGTATTATGTCTTCTTCGTCCGATGACGATGATGATGACGACGACGATAATGCTAGTAATGATAACAACAATAATGATCATAATGATAACGATAACAAATACCCAGAATCAAAAAAGAGTCGAAGAACCAATGGCGGAGATGAAAGAAAGATGTTAATGACGCTACGATATGGTGACAAATTATTATCATCCGTTTCAGGAAAAGTTAAGCCAACAACTGTAGTAGACAATGTTAGTAATGCCAATAATAATAATTCTGATGGCCACGTTGAACAAAAGCAACTTGTTGTAAAAGTATCAAATAGCAATAACAAGGGTAATAATAAGAATGTTATTAATGGCAAGCAACAAAAAGTAACTGCAGCAGACCGAAAACAAAAGGCTATAGTTTATTATGATGATGAGGAATTTCCTGCATCCCTCTCCTCCTCATCATCCCCCTCATCATCCTCCTCATCTTCGTCATCGTCATTATCACCATCAACAGCAGCATCATCCACCAACACCACTTCAGACGATGATAATGAGGACGACGAAGATTATGTCCCACCAACCGAGAAGAAAATTAAGAAAAAATCTGGTAGAAAGCCACGTAGCAGTAACAAATCAAAGCGTAATAAGAAGCAACCCATGGTAAACTCTGGGTTGGCCACCTCTTCTTATTCTTATTCTTCCCCTTCCACCACCTCCACCACAGGTCACGTCACCAACAATCATACTGAGGGGGCCAAAAGGTTTGTAAAAAAAAATTTTCCAAAAAAAATTTATATTAAATAATATTAATATTAATATTAATATTAATAATAATAATAGGAAAAGAGTTGAATGTCAAGCCCCTGTTAGTAACAAAAGAATAAGCGTTGTTGTTAATGAGTCCCAACATGGTTTTGCTGCCGCTGACTTGCGCCAACAACCTTTGGCTCAGGCGGTAGCTATAACTCCAATTGATATTTGTAAAAGCGATGACCTAATGTGGAGCATAATTTACGACGAGTTGGACAAGGCTGATAAGAGATCTGCGCAAGATTCTTCTTCATCTTTCACTTCTTCAATCTTCAATCCATCAACATCTATTGTTCCCTTTTTAAATAATGATAATGATAATGACAACAACAACAGCAACAGCAACAACAACAACAACAACAACAACAACAACAACAACAACAATTCTACCCCCATCACTTCGCCCGAAGTTCCCTCATCTGTCATCTTTAACAACGACAACCGCAACAATAATAATAACTCACCTTTGCCATTATTACCAATAACATATACCACATCCATTACTACCGCAATCATTGATGATGATAATAGTAATACAGTACCACAACGTTCGTTACACGATATAATAATTAATGGTGGAACGAAAAGACTCTTTACAACTTTGGAATCGGTCATTGAAGCTCCCGCTGCTACAACTGTACCCACCACCGCTACATCAAACTCTGCACCTTCTCCTCCCTCGTCATCATCTACTAATATTTCCGAATCGACTTCAACCACCGCTTCTCCTCCCACCACCACCGCTACACTATCAAATATCAACAACAACAACTGCAATAATGGTAATGGAAGTGGATACGACCTTTCGAACTTGTTGATTCAGAATGCCGTGCAAGCACTTTCTCAAATATCAGATCCGATCATACCAGTCAACATTACATCAAACTTCACCACTAATGTGATGTTGATGATGATGAATGGTAATTGCAACAACAACAATTACACAATCGATCCAAAAATCATCACCACCACAAGACCTCCTCCAATAGTTCCAAACATCATTACCAATTTTAGTAAAAATGCCATTGACAATAATAATATTGTTATTAATTGCAATGATTTAAATAACGATCGTAGCTTTTCAATTATTAGCCCACCTTTGGAAACTCCAGAACTTGTGTCAAGCGGATGTGATAGTAGTGGTAGCAGTAACAATAACGATAAAAGAAAAAGAAAATTGAGTATTATGTCTTCTTCGTCCGATGACGATGATGATGACGACGACGATAATGCTAGTAATGATAACAACAATAATGATCATAATGATAACGATAACAAATACCCAGAATCAAAAAAGAGTCGAAGAACCAATGGCGGAGATGAAAGAAAGATGTTAATGACGCTACGATATGGTGACAAATTATTATCATCCGTTTCAGGAAAAGTTAAGCCAACAACTGTAGTAGACAATGTTAGTAATGCCAATAATAATAATTCTGATGGCCACGTTGAACAAAAGCAACTTGTTGTAAAAGTATCAAATAGCAATAACAAGGGTAATAATAAGAATGTTATTAATGGCAAGCAACAAAAAGTAACTGCAGCAGACCGAAAACAAAAGGCTATAGTTTATTATGATGATGAGGAATTTCCTGCATCCCTCTCCTCCTCATCATCCCCCTCATCATCCTCCTCATCTTCGTCATCGTCATTATCACCATCAACAGCAGCATCATCCACCAACACCACTTCAGACGATGATAATGAGGACGACGAAGATTATGTCCCACCAACCGAGAAGAAAATTAAGAAAAAATCTGGTAGAAAGCCACGTAGCAGTAACAAATCAAAGCGTAATAAGAAGCAACCCATGGTAAACTCTGGGTTGGCCACCTCTTCTTATTCTTATTCTTCCCCTTCCACCACCTCCACCACAGGTCACGTCACCAACAATCATACTGAGGGGGCCAAAAGGTTTGTAAAAAAAAATTTTCCAAAAAAAATTTATATTAAATAATATTAATATTAATATTAATATTAATAATAATAATAGGAAAAGAGTTGAATGTCAAGCCCCTGTTAGTAACAAAAGAATAAGCGTTGTTGTTAATGAGTCCCAACATGGTTTTGCTGCCGCTGACTTGCGCCAACAACCTTTGGCTCAGGCGGTAGCTAGTGGTGATGTAGTATCTGCTGTTACAACTCCAGCATCGTCATCATCACCATCATCGCATACACCAACAATATTTGAACAATTTACTGAATCAGGAATTGATTGGTGTAGATATTGCGGAACCACTGAGGGAGTCAATTGGCGACCTGGACCTTGGGGCAAGAGAACTCTATGCAAGTAAGTAATTTTCTTTTTGATTCTATTTATTTATTATTCACATGTTGCTATCATTCATGAAACAATTTATTAACAAATATTTAACCAATTAATTTATTAGCAAACACGGTTGCGACTACAAAGGCTACGGTTTCGCTTGCAGGACCCCTCGATTAGATTTGAGTAGTTTTGCTAGCGAGAGCATAGCAGACCGTAGACAGCCAGTCTTACAACTTTGTAAGTTTATTTAAAATTAAAATATCAATCGATTAATTCGTTTTTTCATGTATATAAATATTTAAATCTTTGTTTTATATTTATAGACTGCTGGGTTTGCTTCGAAAATGAATCATACAAAGGGGATCATTTGATTTCTTGCGGTGGATGTCCCAAGGCATATCACCAGAGTTGCCTTGAGGTGCCTACCACCGAACAAGCCGTTGCTGGTGGTGCTGGTGCTTGGTATTGTGGAGAAGGATGCAAAAATAATTATAACAATAAAAAAATCGGTAAAATTATTATTATTATTGTTATTGTTATTGTTATTGTTATTGTTATTATTACTAATTTTATAAAATCTATAAATTAAACATATATAGTGGTGGAACTTCCACGTAAGAAAATGCCCTTGATGTTGGATCCTAAAAATCAAGGAGTGGAGGGTCCTGTGACTAGCGCATCTCGTTCTCAAGCTTCTCGAAGATCTTCAAGAGTATAAGGATAATTCATTTATAATGATTACAAATATTGACAATAATCAAGAATAGATAATATATTTCAAAACAAAAGAATGTAAATACATTGTATATAAATTTTAAATTTTTAGACATAGAAAAAAAAAACGAACAATTTTATTATTTTTTTTTATCGATTTTTTTATCGATGTTAGTGGGAGGAATCTTAAGGTGTAAATTTTTTTATTTTATTTTACATTAAGGACTTTATTGTATAAAACTTTTAGAATTTTAGAAAATTTAAACCATTTTCATTTTTTTTTTTAATCATTATATTTTTTTATAGACTTTTTTATAGACGAACATTTATTGCTATATAGAATTTTCAAAACAATCAACCTCATCCTATGTATAAATTTATGACTAATAATTTTTAATATAATTTTCATTTTCACAACCAAAACCTACGATTTTAATTTTTAATAATGATAATAATAATAATAATAATAATAATAATAATAATTAATAATAATAATAATATTTAATTCTAATCTAATTAATCTTTAATTTAATATTAATAATTGTTTTTGTAAATAAATAAAATGTTTTTTTATTGTCTATACTCGGACGAGTATAATAAAAAAAATTTTAATTGTCTACAACTCAAACGGGTATAATAAAAATCGATGTTACCAAATTTGCCAAATTTTAAAAAATTCGCGTAATTAAAAACATTATTAATATGCATTGCATAATATTGCGGATTTGATTGGCTTGAATAAATTAATATATTTCATTTTTGAGAAAAGGAATTCAATTAAATTATTGCATATATTTTGCTAACTCAATATTTAACCAGTGATAAAAAAATGCAAGTTTTTATCAATTAGGTAATTGGAACAAATTTTTATTTATAACACAAAACCATTGATTTAGCAATAATTATAGAACAACTGCCTTGTTTCTATTATCCACACGCCCATTTGTCTAATAATAAGAAATGTAAATAAATATATCCTACAAAACTATAATTTAACAATAATTATGAACGACTACCTTTTTTCTTCCGCTGGTTCCTATTTATCTAATAATAAGAAATAAATACTACCTTTTGACGTCCATCTTGAAATAATCTACATATATATTATAATTTATTTAAATATTAAATTTATATATAAATTTATGGAATTTTCTATCATAATTGAAATCTTGATCAACTTGATCAAGTTGACTAAAGCAATAGCATTCTGCTAAAAGGCATATACATTCAAGTAAAATAGCATCAATTTTTTAATCATGTTACTTATGGATCACATAATGCCCATTTTTGTTATTTATTCACGTGACATTTTTGTATGTCAAAATAAATTATTGATCTTTTTGTATATTATGTATGTCACGTCATCTTACTAAACCAACAATCACTGTTTTTACTTTGTAATATTATATCAATTAATTAATTGTTCTTCTGTTGCAGCCAGATTCAGCCATGGCCTTTTATAGGCGAACTTCATAACCAAAAATGGAAATGTAACATTGCATGACCACAAAAAATATGGTTCCTTCTCGGGTATATTATTATTTAATGCTCTACAAATTATACAATAGATGGTTCGATATTGAGCTACAGATCGATCAAGACGACGAATGCGAGAAAACGTACGAGTGATATGTGAAGGTGGTGGGGTAGACGATTGTATATTGTTGATGTACCAATCTGTAATTAGAAAAGAAATGGAGAAACAGTTATTCAAATGACTAAGCAATCATATATAAGATAACTTCCATCATTATCATTTCTCCAAGAGAAGGTAACCCTTAATATCACAAGATAGTTGGTTGATACTGCTATTGAAACACATGTTACGTGGCGGTTGATAATGGAACGTCAAAGTTGATGGATGTTGCGGTGTGAATGTTGTGGAAGTTGGTGATGATGTCTTTGGTGAACCATTATTATATCTATTATATTATATAACAAAAAAATTAGAACCAACCAGTATTCCTTTTTATCGTCATTGCAATAGACTAGCTATCACTCTTCAAACAAGTTATTTTATAATAAGAAAAAAAATACTCTAAATCGTGAATGGCATCTATGCGAATGTAATAAGTCCTTTCTGAATTGTCATGAATCCAGGTTGGTAAGAACAAGACCAACGCTATGATACTTTGTTCCACAATAAAGAGTGAATAATACAACTTGCCTTTGTTTTTTGTTTTTATTTTTCAAAAAAGAATTTTTTCACGTATTGACTTTATTATGATCTTCCGCACATCCATTAATAATTCTCCAATATTTGGAATATTTGGTTCTTTAATACATGTCTTTTTGTTGATATATTTTGGTTCCTAAAATGAGAAGAATGATAGCAAATAGTATGTTAAGTAGATATCTTTTTTGATTTTAACATTCTTAAAAAGAATAATAAATTTCAGAATAATTATAATCATTAAAACGTTGCAGTGTCCCAAAACGGGAGGGTAACATGTATTTTATGTTTATACATTGCAATGTGAGGGAAGTGTTACAGTAATTAGTGTCACCTTGAATTACGAGTAGGCAGAACACGCCTTTCAAATATATTGCGGTGAGTCTTATCGGGATGGCTACTTATCCTAATAGTAGCATGTTCTTTTATATTGTTACGTAATATTCTGGAAAGGAACGTACACAACATAACTCACTTATTTTGACACGTTAATTTATATTTGTCAACACCCTCCCAACATATTATCATATTAATTAATAAATAAATGTTCGTTTATGATAAAAAGAAAACATTTGCATCAATCTTTTGACAAAAAAAATCTAGTAATACTATTACTACGTTGTTCATTCCATGGTTATTATAAAACGATAGATTGTGGATAATGTTGCGGATGATGTTGATCATTTGATGAGGTCAATATTTTCAAGGATTTGCGGGGACTGGATTTTTGCAAGATTTTTCATGGTAATAAATAAATAAATGGAGGTTACACGCACCTAATACTAATGAATATCAACGAGAGATCAACGAAATTTTGATAAATAATAATGATCAGAGTTACGCATCTTGTGCATGCAATTTTTAAGTAAGAATGCATTTTCCCATAGAATTATGCGTAACGAATAAAAAACACGTACTTTTTTTCGTTGCACTGCATGATTCACTCATTAATAATCAATATCAAATCTATGATTCGAGTTTTCTAAGCTGAACTCGGAACCTCCTTGTCCAAAATTGGTAATATTAATCTATCACTATGACATAATAATCAAGCATTTTCTAGTAGGAAATTATAAATCATATTAATACCTATCGCCCAGAAAATATTATGATCATGAGAACTGATGCTACATAGCTATGTGTGAATATTTTTGAAAAACTTACCTCAACCAATTGTCGATAATGGAAACAGTCGATATAATGTAAAGTGATGTGGAAGAGGAGATCAAAATAAATCAAAATTTCAAAGATTAAAATACCGGACGGGTTAATAGAAGAACTAAATAGTATTTTTTTCCTTTAAAAGTGCGTACAAACAGATATCGTAAAGTTTTTCGTGAGAAACCCCTTGTATTTACGGATGAGAGTTTTTTACATATTTGTTGCTCATTATTCTCATGTTTTTTGCTTTATTCTAACCTAATATATTAAATTTGTTCCAATGACAATTGTCTGCCTGATAATTAATTATTAATCATATATATACTGTATATTTTAAACCAAAAAAATTTATCATGAAAATTTTTCTTATAAAACCTCTCATGAAAACAAACCTCTTGTACAACGTTTACATAGTACGTATATAATTTTATGAAAAATTTTGAAGATTTTCTAACATCCAATTACTACTACTACTACTACTACTACTACCACTACTACTGCTGCCGCTTCCGCATGCGATCGATTGGTTTGATAATTAATTAATAATGATTGTTCTATTAGTAATAACGTCAACGAGCAAACAACAAATTACTTTTTTTAAAAAAAACTAAAAATTATTATCAATAACATGTCGCTAAAAAAAATCCAATTATGGAATGATCAATGGAATCATCGTTGTGCTTTTATCATAATATTATTTCAATTGGCCGTCATAACAACAACTATTTTTTAAGAAAAAAATTATATTTTTTATAACAAGAAATAATAATGATAATGATAATGATAATGATAATGATAATAATAATGATAATAATGATAATAATGATAATAATAATGATAATAATAATGATGATAATAATAATTATTGATAAAAAAAAAAATGGACACCGACAACAAATAATAATAAATCTCTTCCGATTCAGATTCTCAATGAACAATAATCAAGACGACAACGATGTTTGTTGCTACTTAATCTAATCTTGTTTGCGTTGATGATTCCCTTGCAAATAAAAATCATGGCGGCAGTAGCGGCAGTGTTTTAGAAGTAGTAATTTGCTAATTAGTTTTCTTTTTTCGTGTTACTAATCAACCAAATTTCAAATTTTCAAATTGTTAGGTCTAAGCAACGCATTCATTAATGTGCCTACTGATCCACAACAGCAACAACAGCAACAACAGCAGCAACAACAGCAGCAGCAACAGCAGCAACAGCAACAGCAACAGCAGAATCATCGTCCACCATCATCCTTAAGAATCACCACATCATTCGTACGTTCTCCTCCACCTTCACCATCATCGCAACCACAATTGTCGCCATCTACTACCGTACAAAATGCTGCCACCATAACCGCAACTGCTACCACAACTATAAACTTTGGACCTGCTACTAGCGATCAAAAAAAGAATATTGTTAATGATGTCTTGTTGTCGGAATGTATTATGAATACTGATGATAACGATAATGATCATAGTAATAATTTGCAATCTGATAGCGATTCTGCATCGGAAGTTGATAGTTCAAATTCGGTTCCTATAACTCCAATTGATATTTGTAAAAGCGATGACCTAATGTGGAGCATAATTTACGACGAGTTGGACAAGGCTGATAAGAGATCTGCGCAAGATTCTTCTTCATCTTTCACTTCTTCAATCTTCAATCCATCAACATCTATTGTTCCCTTTTTAAATAATGATAATGATAATGACAACAACAACAGCAACAGCAACAACAACAACAACAACAACAACAACAACAACAACAACAATTCTACCCCCATCACTTCGCCCGAAGTTCCCTCATCTGTCATCTTTAACAACGACAACCGCAACAATAATAATAACTCACCTTTGCCATTATTACCAATAACATATACCACATCCATTACTACCGCAATCATTGATGATGATAATAGTAATACAGTACCACAACGTTCGTTACACGATATAATAATTAATGGTGGAACGAAAAGACTCTTTACAACTTTGGAATCGGTCATTGAAGCTCCCGCTGCTACAACTGT